AGATTGAAATCAGTTTGTTTCCATTTAGTAATTATTATTGGTTATTCTGCTATAACAACATCTTTGTTTATGTGTATATATGTATGTGGGCATTTGTTTTCTCTTAGGTGTATATAAGTTTAACATTAATCAGTAATGTGTTAACTTCAACATTTACAATTTGATTTACAATTGAGATAACTCCCAAGTGGCTCTACCATTCTATTGTAGCAGCAAAGAAGCAAACTCACACATTCTTTCATGTTTATCAACAATTGAAATTTGTTATTACTTGACATATTGATATAAATTCATCTGTGATGGCTAATTCTAATTGCTAACTTCCCTGGGTTTGGAATCCCTTAGGAGATAAAGTACTGTTTATGTATGTGAGGATGTTTCTGGAGAGGTTTAACTGAGGCTAAGTCCTGTGAATATTGTTAATACTATCCCGTGTGCTGAGGTTCAATGTGAATAAAAAATTAAAAAAGGAGAAATCAGTTTGTGCACCAGCATTCATCTCTCTCTGTTTTCTGACTTTATACAGAAGGAGACAATTTATAGCAATATGCCTTCTATATCTTCTTCCCTCAAATTGTGAGACAAAATAAATTACAATTTCCCCTTTTTCTAGTGCTGTTACACAGCAACAAGAAAAGTAATATACCATCTTGTATTATTATAGTTTTTATTTATAGTCCTCAATTACTGAATGCATTGATTGACTGTGGGTTTTTTTTTTGTAGTTGTTATTTTTTTAATTGTTATAGTTGTTTGTTTGTTTGGTTTGGTTTTGATATTGTTATCATGTTTAGAAATTGTGTCTTATTTGTTGTTTAACCACTAGGCTGGCCAAGAACTTCCTATGTAAAACAGGTTGGTCTTATATTCACAAGTGTTTTGCCACATGTATCCAAGTTTTGAAAATAAGCTTCCTAAAGCCTCTTGCCAAAGTTAATGTACTTCTTTAAAGTCTGTTCATCTACTAGGAACAAATGCCTATTTAAAAATATTTGTTATACTTTAAATAAATTGTATTTTATATGTATTATTTGTATACTCTGTATAATGTTTTTTATTAGTTTTATGGTTGAGAAGTCTTACTTGAAGTTACAATTTTTTTTAAAGATTTATTTATTCATTATGTATACAGTGATCTGCCTGCATGTCTGCATGCAAACCAGAAGAGGGCATCAGATCCCACTACAGATGGTTGTGAGCCACCATGTGGGTGCTGGGAGTCGAACTCAGGACCTCTGGAAGAGCAGTCAATGCTCTTAACCTCTGAGCCATCTCTCCAGACCCTTGAAGTTATAATTTTGTTCTTAACATTGTACATTAAAATATGAACATATGCAGTCTTACAGAAGACTTGCCTTTGCTTGAATTAAATCTATGATCATTTTATCCAACTCAAATACACGAAATTATTATATTAATTTTCATGAAAAATTATTGAGTGTTCATATTTAGGTTTATACTTCATTTTGAATCACTATTACATAATCTGAGGTACAAACCCAAATTTACTATTTTTTATTTAAGCTTCAAGTTATTCAAAAGTCATTTCTTGGAATAATCATTTTGTGTTTTGAGTTCTCTTGACACTGTCACAACAAATATATTTCTCATAAACTTTGGGTTTTATTTCTGGATGTACTTTCTTTAGGCAGATATTATGTCAGGTTACTTACTCTACTTTTAATATGAAAATGTGATTTTGTCTGACTTTGACAACTTTCAAGATTACTTCCTCTTGTTCCATTGCATTTCCATATGGATGTTAAGATAGATCACCATGTCAATTGCTATAAAAAGATAGCTAATGATTTTTGTAGGGATGATTTTTGATTTTAGGCCAACTTGAATATTATTGCCTAACAAAATTGCATATTCTTAACTATAATTGTGTGATATTTTACAAACTGTATAAATATTATTTCTCAATAACTCTTCAAGGTCTTTGCTTCACATTTCTTTTAACTAAAAGGAATTACATGTATATTATTCTTATTTACATAATTGAAAGAATTGTTTATTTTTAGGTCATGAGATTAATCTTTAGTTTTGGAATATTCCACTCTGGTTTATAGGTATACAACTGAGTTTTTTTTTACACTGACTTTATAGCATACAATCTAGCAGATCCTGTTTTCATTTCAAAAACACTTTTTGAAATGTTTGCCTGTGTTTTTTACTGAACATTTATGCTATTTAGAAATAATAAATATTTGTCTAAATCATTTTTAAACTGCATGTGTTGTATCTTTCTTTCTCTTGCTTACTTGTCTTGGCTAGTGATAGGTGAAGTTTTGTTCAGAAATGGCTAGAGAAATAATGACTATTCCTCATGAGAGAAAGTCTAAGTTTTTCACTAACAAAACTGATGTTCAGTGGGTTTTCTCTATGTATCATGTATGTGAATGTGTAAATTGTCTTCTGGCTTATTTAGTGCTGTTATCAAAACAAAGCACTTGACATTGGTAGTAGTCATGTATATACTTCCTGAAGCGAAAACGCATAGAACTTCAGACTGTGGAGACAAATTCCACACATCCAGTAGAGCTAATACTTCTTGTTTTTCATTTTTCATTTTGCTTCCCTCAG